TAGTAAATGGTTTAGTGAGGATTTAACTCAGGTCTGTTTGACTCCAAAAGGGTGGTCTTAAATACGATGCTGAAAGTCATCTAAAGATTGACTCTCACTCTTTGAAATCATTTTAGATCTACAGAAGAGTTGCAGAGATGGTCTGGAGAGTCCCCGTGTAACCTTCCCCAGCTTCCTCTCATGTAAACATCTTATACAACCGTGCTACATTTTTCAAAACTAGGAAATTAAAGCTGAGGCAGTACTATTAACCTAACTACAGGTTTTATTTGGATTCTGCCTGTTTTTCCATTCTAATGTCCTTCACCCGTTCCAGGATCCAGTCCAAGGTACCACTGTCTAACAATTTTTAAAGACTCGCCATGGACAAATTTGAATGTGGGCAGGATGCAGTGCCGAAGATACAAAGATGACCAAAAAGCAGGGCAGCCCTCAAAGAGCACGTCACAGGGAAATAGACGCAGAAGTAAAGGATGTCACCAGGTGGGGCCTGGCCAGGACAGATGGCAGCTCAGGGAGCTTTAAGGGTCAATGGAAGGCAGACAGGCAGCCTAATCCTGGGGTCTGGAGGGACGTCTCAGGCAGGAGAAACAGTGTGGGTGGATACCACAGGACACTGAGAATCAGCAGAGGGAAAGGCCAGAGGGTGATTATGGTTGAAGGGAAGCAAGAGGCGAGACTGATCGGGAACCCCCGGAACAGAGACCTTACCTGTTGGCGCTGGAGACGGATGCCAGCCTAGTCAGGGGTAGGTTTAACTGGAATCTTCTGCAAGAGCGTGTAGGTCAAATGGTTACCCTCTGATAATTAACCTAATTGTTTATACAAATGCCCCGAGTGTCGTTCTGTTATAATTGGGAGGCAGTATAACGTAGTGCTTAACAGCACGGGCTCTGGAAGGAAACTAACTGGGTTGGAATCCCACCTGACTCTGCCACTTTCTACCTGTGTAACTTAGAAAGCTTCTTACTGTTCTGTTCCTGTTTTTCCGCTCTGTAAAATGGGGATAATACTAGTATTCATCTCATAGTGTTTGGAGGATTAAATGAAATGACCCTAAGGCACTTAGCATAGTGCCTGTGCGCAGTAAATACACAATGAACGCCAGCTGTGATTATCCAAATCTGCCTCTGTTTCACACCTTGCTAATATTACTTAGACAGAAGCCAAGACACCCACATAATCTTTTCAAAGAGCTTTCAGGTGTATAGTCTCATTACACCATTAGCATAATTTATTGTGCCCATTTTACAGAGAAGGAATGTAGAGCACAGCAAAGTTAAATGACAAAACTAAGATCATCTGACAGTCCAGGAGAAAAGCAAGTATTAAAAACATTTTGAAAATCAAGTTTTTGATTTAAATTCCCAGATTCTTTATGCTGCTACTGAAATAGTGATTGAGGTCCACTAATAGTGAGGAACAGTTAGAAAAATAATTAACTGCAAGTTCTTAGGGTCCTGCCTTTATTAGCAGCTTTACCACATGAAATATTTTATGAGTCTGCCTTCCTGTGGTGAAATATCAGACTTGTGAACCTTTAAGCAACTCACAAATGCAGATGGATTTCATTTGTTGAGGGCCAAAGAGTCCCTAGAGTTGACAAATTGTTAGCTGTTGTAAACATGGCTCACAGATGTGCGCTTTGGAGATGGATGGGTCTCAGTGGCTGAGCAGGCCAGAATCTACTCCCTGTGTAAACTTGGGCGAACTGCAGAACATTTAAAAAGCCTCAGTTTATTCATCTGTAAAATGGGGATTCTAATATTGACCTCTTAAGGTTGGAGGGAGCTATAAAAGACATATACATTGTACAGACCTGCCGTCCCAGATGGCATTCATTAAGCATAAATTATCTTTTCCTACTCCATCCCTTTCTTTCTTTCTGGAAGCTGTAGATTAACAAAAGCCAGGAAATAACACAGATGTACAGGGAACACACACAAAAATAATTTCACCAGAGATATTAAGTGTTAGGTGGAAAGAATCCTTACAAAGCAGCATTTGGGTGGCTAATAAAACCAAAATGTGTTCTCCGTTAAAAACTCTGAGAAGCCAGAACCACCAGTCGGATACTGCAAGTCTCACTTTACACTTGGATCTGATTTTGGCTAAAAGGGCTGAACTTTTGATTGCATTGGTGACTTCAAGTGTCTCCAGTGGCCTGATGTAGTCATGGAGGACGGCGATTGGACAATCAGGCTGGACACACCTCAGATAGTCCACAGCCAGCTCACTGATAGGATCAGACCCAGAGCCCAGTGCTGCGTCACCTACACATCGAAAATGTGTTCAGGACGTCTGTCTCTGTGGTTTATATGTGTATATATACATGGAAATAGCCCGCAACTATTGCAAGACAACCAATCTCAAACTCATCTCAGAGGGTCTTGTCCCGCACCCGGGATCTGTCCCAGACTGGGCTCCCAGAGGGGCACTTCTCAGACACCCTGCTCTCGCCTGCACGAGCCTGCTTCAGAGGGAGCTCCTATTTCACTGAGAGGGTGGCTGTGCAGCCTCGGTGACGAAGCCGCTGGCCATCAATATTTGAATAGAGGCCCCTGAACAGGTACACGTGCGCTGAGGTGCACAGTTGCAGGACGTGCCTATGTCCTCTTCGTGTGGCCTTTCCGACGCTGCCCAGAATAAACCGCCTAATCTCGGGTACCCAGTGGAGAACAGGTCGGGGAGAAGGAGCCGGTGCAGGCCAGCCACCCCGCGTGCAGACGTGCTATCTTGTTCTACAGACTCTGCGCTATCTGCCGGTTGCTAGTGGCTCGGCCAGCACATTTAGCTGTGCCCTGGGGCTGGCAGGGGTTTCTGGATAATGTCCCACTAAACTTCAGGGACTGGCTAGTCTCAACGGCCTTTCCTCTAGTATTTAAAATGAATTCCACATCTGTCCCCAACAGAAATATTTCCCTCGCATTGCATAGGCGTTGTGTTACCACCCACGTTCTCACTGTCATGAAATCCTAGGGCTTTTGGCCAAGATATGCCAGTATCTGGTATGCCGGCAACCAGAGTGTCCGCCTCTCCAACCCAGACATTTATTACTGCATGTTGACCTTCACAGTTGTTTCTTTTTTTTTCTCTCTCTAATTTTTTTTGGTGGGGGGAGGTAATTAGGTTTGTTTGTTTGTTTGTTTGTTTGTTTATTTATTTATTTATTAATGGAGGTACTGGGGATTGAACCCAGGACCCTATGCATGCTAAGCATTCACCATACCACTGAGCTATATACCCTCCCCCACCAGTTGTTTCTGCCTCTAGTCAACTAATAAAAGTGATTTAGCTTTTTTCCATCTCAGTTTCCAAATCCATCAGAGATAATTACCCCTGCTCCATGTGCCCTCTAAAAATTTGGTGGAGATAAAATAGGATCGCATATATAAGGACAGCTTAAAAAAGTATATAGAAATAAAGGTGGTGGTATAGGTTTAACAGTAAAACTTACTTGCTTTGGATTCCACTTACGCAGAGTAGAAGGGGCAGTGCAAACGTTTCCCTTTGCCCTGTTATGAAGAAAAGATGTATTAAATAATTGAACAATGCAATTAATATATGAGGGATACATAACCTACTTATAAGAATGATCGGGTTCCACAAACTTCACAGCAGTCACTTACAAATTAAAAATTAACGAGCCATTTCTCTGTGTGCTCCAAGGCAAGTCATGGAGCACCCTGACTTAGCAACACTTAGCTGTTAAAATCAGAAATAGCATTGGAAAGGAACTTGCAGCTCATCTAAGCCAAATCTGTCATTTTACAGATGAGACTGACTTCCAAGGATAAGTAACATGTCCAAGCTCTCTCAGTCCACTGGAAAGCCAAAAATTAAACCAGAATCAAGTGTCTGTTGTCATTCCACGCTGCCTCCTTTGTTGGCCTGGCTGAAGCTAATTTTTCAGTTCCAAGGGAACAAATTCCATTTTCTTCAAGTGGAAACTTACACAGAAACGCAGACTCCTTGGCTAGGAGTAGAATAAAAGTAACTTTTACTGCTCCTCACTCTCTCCCTTGACCTGCCATGGATTCAGGTTTTGTGGGGAGCCTGAAGCGTTTTAGATTTAGGGGATTCTCTGTCAGAAAAAGAATAAAAATTATGAGTAAAAAAATTATTACAAATATAAATGTTTATTTAAATTGACAGAAGGATCACAATAAGTTAAAATTTTTAAAGTTGAAAAACCCAATTGAAAAATGGGCAGAAGACCTAAATAAACATTTTTCCAAAGAAGACATTCAGACAGCCAATAAGTACATGAAAAAATGCTCAAAATTGCTAATTATCAGAGAAATGTAAATCAAAACTACAATGAGGTATCACCTCACACTGGTCACAATGGCCATTATTATAAAGCCCACAAATGATAAAAGCTAGAGAGGGTGTGGAGAAAAGGGACCCCTCTTACACTGCTGGTGGGAGTGTAGTTTGTGCAGCCATTATGGAAAACAGCATGTAGATTCCTTAACAAACTGAAAATATTCTTACCATATGACCCAGCAATCCCACTTTTGGGTGTATATCTGGAGAAAACTCTAATTTGAAAAGATACATGCACCCCAGTGTTCATAGCAGCACTATTTACAATAGCCAAGACATGGAAGCAACCTAAATGTCCATTGACAGGTGAATGGATAAAGAAGGTGTGATATATATACAATGGAATACTACTCAGCCATAAAAAAGAATAAAATGATGCCATTTGCAGCAACATGGATGGACCTAGAGATTATCATACTAAGTGAAGTAAGTCAGACAGAGAAAGACAAATACAATACAATATCACTTACATGTGGAATCTAAAAAAATGATACAAATGAACTTATTTACAAAACAGAAAGAAACCCACAGGCAGAAAACAAACTTATGGTTACCAAAGGGGAAAGTGGGGAGAGAGATAAATTAGGAGTTTGAGATTAGCAGATACAAACTACTATATATAAAATAGATAAACAACACGGTCCTACTGTATAGCACAGGGAACTATATTTAGTATCTTGTAATAACATATAATGAAAGAGAATCTGAAAAAGAATATATATATGTATAACTGAATCAACATGCCGTATACCAGCAACTAACACAGCATTGTAAATCACCTAAACCTCAATAAAAACAATTTTAAGTTGATAGATACCACAAATATTATAAATCCAGAAAAATAACAAAATAGTTTTAACTCTTATTATTAATCTTATTAGTGTCTTTTACTAACCATACTTCTTTAAGATATTTTTCTTTTAAAAACATCCTTTGTAAGCTGTTTCATTCCCTTCACTTGATAACAGTTTTGTGATATCATTACCTAAATGGAGGAAAAAGATAATTTGATATTTCCTTCCTTTTGGAAGATTCCAGAATGGTTAATCACTTTTTTACAATTATTTTTGATACCTAAATTCTTTTTTCTTTTAGCTTCCCAACTTGTTATTCGTGTCATATGCATTTTTATGACTGTATTCAAATTTGATAAAATGTCTCTTGTTTCTATCACACATGAACCATTTCGAACACACTTGCTTTTGTTGTTCTGCTTGGAGTGGACACCCTATAATTACAGAAATTCTCATGCATCCCATTTCTCACAGTGCCCATTAAAAATAACAACAGAAGGGATTTGATTTTCTTTGTCACTGTATATGGTATGGTATCAGGCATTTTCCTGATCACAGAAGAGAGGAGTTCTAGTCTGATTTAGGTGGTGTAAGAACAGAATCATCCACTTAACAGTCCACACCTTATGTTTGGAAGAATTTCCATATATTATCTCCGGATCAATCCACGTCAGACTTTATTTCTCCTCCACTCTTATATATATCTGGAACTGGGGCTAAAAGAGATGTCCATAGTTCCATGTGACCCCAGGCTCTGTATGTAGAGAACAAAGATGGTGAGCTGGCACAGTTGGGGATAGGCATGTTTGGGAAAGTCATCCCTCTCTGGGACAGCTGGCAGTACTAAAACTACACATGGAAGTGACTGTGACCCACACACAAACATCATCTCATAAACCCAGACTAAACTTATCCTTCACTCATCTTCCCCTTAACTGGCTTCCAAAAATGCCTGGGGTCCCTCCAGTGTTACCCTACCTAGAGAGATGTGATGGCGTGGGAATCTGAGCAAATGAAGCAGCATTCTTAATCCATTGCAATGAAAATGCATTACTTTTGCAAATTTTTCAAAAACCTAAGACCATGTGAATACACTGGTGAGACTCCTGCCAGGGCTTTGGAAGGGATCAATGCCAATGAGAGGGTCTGAAGGTTAAGCTTCATTGATTTCATGGTGAAGGGGGATCTCTAGTTCATGGAAGAGAAAGAGCTACAGCTCTCAGCAAGCTGGACTGGGTGTGGCACATGCTTACCAGGTTGAGACTGGGGGTGTTGTCTGGGCAAACTGAGAAGGAGGGAGTCCAACTGGCCTGGTCAAGCGAGGGCCAAAAGTTTCGTCAGCAGTTTCCAGCAGAAGCAACTGCAGTTGCACATACCAGAAGAGGTGTCTCGCAACCTTGGGCTGCTCCGGAGAGAGATCAGTTGGTGCTAACGTGGTAGAATCATGTCTTCTGTCCATGGCAGCCCACTGTTTCTGGGTCAAGCCACCCATGAAAAAGCAACCAGTCATCCCTTGAAATGGCATCACTAAAACCCTGTCACTCTTGTTACAGTGTAAACATGACATCTGAATCTCAGTTTGGACGACTGCATCGTAACAAACATACACCGCGATGAACATCAACTAATACAGGGGGCAGTCTGGTGACCCAAGGGAGAAAGCCTCATTGTAGGTAAACTTCTCAAGGAGGGCTCGGATCCCACACGGAGGTCTGTTGACCTGTGGTCCCTTTCCAGTTTATCCTAATGGTTTGTTTTACAACATGAACTTGAAGGAAAAAAAATTCTTTAAAATATTCTGAAATTCTGATTTTTTATAGTCACTCCAGTTTTTAACTTTCTATGGAACTCAGATTCTTTTTTTTCTTAATTGAAGTATAGTCAGTTTCCTTTGTGTCAATTTCTGGTGTACAGCATCATGTTTCAGTCATTCATATATGTACATATATTCATTTTCATATTCTTTTTCATTATAGGTTCCTATAAGGTATTGAATATAATTCTGTGTGTGATACAACACACTTGATGTTGACCTATTTTATATATACTAGTTAACATTTGCAAATCTTGAATTCCCAATTTATCCCTTTCCATCCCCTTTCCCCCCTGCTAACCATAAGATTGTTTACTATGTCTGTGAGTCTGTTTCTGTTTTATAGATAAGTTCATTAGTGTCTTCTTTTTTTCCTTCTTTTTTTTTGGATTCCACATATGGGAACTCAGACTCTTAAGGCAATGCATCCGACCTGTGTCTCCTGTTTTCCAGTCTTTCTAAACCTTTATTTCTGCTTGTCTGGACTATGCCAACAGTCTCTTAAGTAAGCTCTCTAATCTACCCTATGCACTGCTGCCACATAAATGCTCTCAGGCTGGCCTGGCCTGTTGTCCCCTGGCAGGAGCAATCTGTCCGAACACCCAGAACCCTTTGGTTGGTTCTCGTCTTCTACCATGTATGAAAGTCACTCGTCATTGTGGTTGTCTGTATATGAGTCTATCACCCTGCCCAGAGCACACATTTCTTGCATTTCCAGCCCCCTGCAAAGTCAAGGCACAAAATGGGAACTTAGTAAGTATCAATGATGGGCTCCATTGTCGATGTTTTACCTGACAACCACAGTGATTGTTTTCTCCTTGCCAGTGATTGGTTTAGGGAGCTGTCCCATAGAAGAGCCTCTGATCATGGAAATATGGCTAGTGTGACTGAAGTTCTTGGGATTTTATCGAATTCTAGTGAACTAAAATGTAAACTTCAACTGCCACAACTATTGCACAGCTCAGGCCAGGTAACTAAGTGACAATTCTGGCAACTGAAATACAGGGCAGCCAGAGTCTTTCCTCCTGCAGGATGTTGCCACGTCTGGGCGTAGTACCCAGGACCGTGTGGCCATCTGGAAGCTGGACAGGAGCACAGAGGACAGAGCTGACACCTTGAGGATGGCAGAGAGAGATATGGAGAGAGAATCTGAGCCAAGGACTCAGTCAACCTGGAGCTGCCCTTCCTCATGTGTGGGCAAGGACTTTCCTCATTGTGGAAGCCGTTTTGATTAAAGCTTTCTGCAAATTGCAGCCCAAAGCATCAAAAATGACAGTGCTGTTATGCTAATTGGGTGGAAAGAAGGGCCGGGGTACACCATGTCTGTTGGGAATTGCATACATCTTGTGAAGACTGTACATAATAATGCAAGAGAAATATGCAAAAAAGAAACCATCATGGAATCCTTATATATCCAAAGTATGAGTTTCTTCCCCCACCCCCAGGCAAAAGACAGGGTTTATGAGCCACTGCTGAGTGAAAAACAAGAATTCTGCAGAGGATATCTGTGCCTCTGGTCTACTGAGGATTCCTTTTGTCTTTCCTTTCATTTCTGACCCTATGTTCTATGGGGAATCATTCCTTGTGACTCAGGTAAGGGTGACCCCCAATCCCCTTGTCAAAGGGGTGGGCCTGAGATGGAGGCCTGGCCTGCAGGATACACCATACCTCCAGCCACAGTGATTGAGGAATCAGCATATAAATGTTAACCAAGGTTTGATAGATGCACAAGATGGATGCCGAGAGAGAGGCAGGGTGCTCTTTTTGGGCAAGGGGAGGGGGAACATGGACTGTGGTTTCTACCTGGAGAAGAAAACCCTTTGAGAGTAAAGTCAGTCCTAAAACCCAGAGGCTCAGGGAAGATAGACAGAGCTTACTGACACTATCTGAGCCCCTGAGTACAGCCATACCTGATGCCCAAGTCAAACTTGGGACTTTTCATGTACATGAGTCAATGTGCTTAGGCCAGGTTGTTTTGATTTTCTGCCACTTGTGGCTGAGAGAGTCCTGACTGATACAGTAGAGAATCAAACAAGGCAAGAGGGAGGCCCTGGATCTGCCACAGATTGGAGTGGGGTCAGGTGGAGAAAGATGCGCAGAAGATATGCAACTGTTAAGGCTTTGTGAGGCAGTGGATGCTGTGGACAGTGGCCTGGTACCCAGACAAGTGTGGGTTTGGGGACAACTGCTCTGAGTCGTAACACCAGCTTAACCACTTACTCCTTTGATAAGTCTGAGATAGCCATTTAGACATTAAACTTGGGTCTTGGTTTTTCCATCTATAAAATGGGGAAAGATGACTTCACAAATTTGTCTCAAGCATTCAGTAGGATGATGTATATAAAATCCCTCACACAGAACTCGGCAGACAGCATCCCCGTGATTGACGTTAGTTCCCGGCACCAGAGACAACAGGTGTCAAAGCTGCTGCAATGAAATCGTCCAAAGTGATGACTGACACGCCTTGGATCTCTTCTCCTCACTACCTTTTACTTCTGTCTTTCTCGTTTGTTACTTAATCCTAGTAGTTTCCATTGAAAATAATACTAGTTACCTTGTTCTTGTGCTTTACACACATTATCTGTAATCCCGGCAGTGATGCTTCACGACATTATTCCTGACCAGGATGATAAAGTAGGCGGCACCATTTCACAGGAGAGATGAGTGACTGGGCTACACTGGTCCTACATAAGGCAAATCCAGGAGGGCATCTAGGTGCACCCTGTGGGGCAGGACAAACCCTGAGGACACTGTTTACCATCTGAAGTTTTCTTTCTCAGAAGTATGGAAGACATACTGTTGTTTTGAATTTCACACCACGGTTACCTGTGTAACTAAAGAACCTGTAAGTCCCTCAATAGGAAAAAGTGGAAACTGACCCAGTGAATGCCAGACCCAAGGATGTATCCAATTACAGTTCTTCTGGGATATAGATAAGAGAATATTCTTGAATTTCACACAGGCTGATCCAAAACTGAGCTTTCAGATTAAGTTTTAAAGTAACAGTTTTATGTATAGTGCAGGAAACTAAATTCAATAGCTTGTAATAGCCTATAATGAAAAGAAATATATATATATAACTGAATCACTATGCTGCGCACCAGAAATGAATACATTGTAACTAAATCAACTATACTTCAATTTTAAAAAAGGTAATAATATTAGAATTTGAGCTAGAAAATGAGATTCGTGCTACGCAGACTTTTCTTTCATTCCTACAAAAAACTGAAATCAAGCCTCAACATCCCCCATTACCACCAACAACCCCTCCTTGCACCCCCCCAAACCCCAATCTGTTGTTGTTGTTTTTAATGTGGGTGGTCCTATTCTGATTAGCAGCACAGTCTTCATTAGGACAGAAATGAAACTGTTTTTGTTCCTATAGAAACACGACACTTGCAAAGATGTGTCTGAGGATGTTTGCTGCAGCCTGTTTGCAAGAGCAAAAAAGTGTCCTTATTGTTGGTGCCCAGACACAAGGGGGTTGTTTCAATAATTGGAACAATCTGCTCCAGCTAAAAAGAACAGATAGATTTTTATATACTGACATGGTGTGGTGGTGGTGGGGGGATGTTGACAGTATACCCATACGTTTGAAAAGTAGGTTGCAGAATGATATTTAGAATAGAATCTGATTTATGGGGAAAAAAAGGTAAGCAAAGAAAGTATCTGAATGATGGAAAAGTCTAGAAGGAACAAGACCAACTCGTTATTAGTGGTTATTGGATTTTTCTTTGGAGTGGGTCACAGAGGACTTTGACTTTTCATTTTAAAAGTTTCAATGTAATTGTGAGGTTTTGGCTTTTTTTTTTTTTAAATGGAGGTACTGGGGATTGAACCCAGGACCTCGTGCACTGAGCTATATCCTGCCCCCTCCACAGGGTTTTGGCTTAAAAAAAAATTTTTTTTTTCCTACAATGAGCCAGTTTGATTTCCATAGTCAAAAAAAAGTTTACATATTTTTAAAATTTGAATTAACAGCACACTGATCAATACCGAAGAGGGCAGGCTAAGTTATTAAATGATGTCATTGTGAATATCAGTTTCTATATTCTGTGTCCTTTGTCCTGTGTTTATTTGCATAGCCCAGAACGGTTTTTCTAATCACTGACTTTGTTTGTTTGTTTGTATGTTTTAATGGAGGTACTGGGGACTGAACCTAGGACCTCATGCTGTGTGTGCTAAGCACACACCCTACCACTGAGCTAGACCCTCCCCCCATCTAATCTCTGACTTTTAAGGACGTTTGCCCCTCATCTAACAGACTGCTGGGCTGGCCACGGAGGCGCAGCTGCACCACTTCCTCCCCCACTTACTTCCTCTGTCTCAACAGAAACATCCAACCAGCTACTTGGCTTTTTCCCACATACTAAGTTTCCTTATCATGTCTCTAGTCCCCCAGTAGAATTAAAGCAAGATTAAATTAAAAGAAACCCTTCTTACATATTTAGGTAAAATATTTTCTTTACCTCATTCTTCTCTTCTGCATTGCCTCTTGCCAAGCGCTGTGACAGGTGGGGCACCGTCTCTGTGCTCAGGGCACACAAGCATCCTGGTAAAGACAAACATTGGCAATGACAGTGACAATACACAGTGACAACTGTATTGCTACTTCTCAGCACCCAAATGTGTGTCAGCATCAGGTGCTAGGGGTACAAAGTTAAATAAGACATGATCTCTGACCCCAAGAGGTT